TGGAAATTTGCTGTTTGGACGAGGCTACAGCGATTGGATGTGCCAATGCTGAAGTCGTGAGATGCTGCAGGTAAGACAGCTTTGGTATATATAGGCGTTGCTCAGAAACTGATTTGATGATGGGATAATTGTCAATGACGTATTCGATACTGAAACTTCTGCGCATGCTCCTCCCGAAATTTGTTTAAAAACATCACTTATTTTAACCACTATGCTATCAAAGCAGCACCCACACCAGGTGTCAACCCGGCCTCCTAGAGGGCAGAATTGGGGTGTGACTCCACCCTGCACCTTATCTGATTGGACAAGCATTATGTAGACCCAGCCTCTACCAAAGCCTATAAAACTTTGAACAAAGGAATTTCATCGTCGTCTTTTGCCGGTCATCTTTGCCAGTCGTCACCGCCGTCGCTGCCCGGACGTCGCTCTTCTCGTGCTGTGGCCGTTACATCGCCTCGCCGGAAGCCTCGTTACATCACGGAGCAGACCGCGACCTTCACTTGCTGCCGGCTCGACCCCCGATCTGCTTGTGCAACCGCTTCAACAACAAGCCATCGGGTCAACACATCCAAACTCTGAAACTCAGTCTAACTACAGGAACCCAGGAAGGACTTCGAACGCCGCCTTGTCCAACATCCGTATCCCTAGCAACCGACTAAGGAAACCCCTCTTCACCGACAAGGGAATTCCATCACGTCACTGAAGTTGCTACGCTGACCAATCAGCTTCGCCGGGATTTCCCTTTGGACCAGTCGAGGAAACCAAAAATTACATCAGAACGCAAGTAGCACAAACGAGGTTTCTATCCATTGCTGACACTGGTGTGAATTATGTTTAAGTAGTAAAGAATAGCAAGATTCTCTGCTTTTATGGTTTCTCTCAGGTTGCAATGCTAAGAACGTAGCAAATGCTAGAAGTTGAATCCACTCAGTCATAACTCTCCTCAAACTGCTTGTGAGTGTGTATGTATGTGCGTTTGTTTGTTTTACGTAACGTTCGATTAGTTCTTTGTGTTGTAGAGTAGCAATAAACTTTTGTTTCGTTTTAAGATCCGTGTTGGTGTGTTGTGTGCTTTATAAGTTAATGCCTCAGCTTCAGATACTGCTACCTTGCTTATTAAATAATTAGATACTGTTTTTATATTGTTATTGTTGGCCACGTAATAATATAATACAGGATTGCTTTACACTAAACGTTCTATTTGCTGGACAAATACTAAAGTTAAGTGTAAGCTTTAAATAATTCTATGTGAATCATGTTCGAATCTTTGATTCGAGTCCCCAAAGTTTAAACATGATTTAAACCAAAGAGCTGATTCTTACACTAGGATTAGGGATGTAGAATAAGATACTTTATAAGTGCTTTAATAAGCAGAAAATATATTAACAATAGGCAGTTAATAAGCCACTAGTTATTAGTGAGAATTGGTAATTAAACTAAAGTGTTACCCATTAAAGATAGAGAGAAACATGACAAAGCTAAATAAAAAAATAAAAATATATGATAAAGGGAGACCTGGTTGCTCAGTAGTTAGCACTGTTGCCTCACAGCAAGAAGGTCGCTGGTTCAAATCTCGGCTGGGTCAGTTGACGTTTCTGTGTGGAGTTTGAATGTTTTCTCCGTGTTCGTGTGAGTTTCCTCCGGGTGCTTCAGTTTCCCCCACAGTCCAAAGACATGCAGGTGAATTGAATAAACTAAATTAGCTGTAGTTTATGTTTGTGAATGAGAGTGTATGGGTGTTTCCTAGTACTGGGTATCAGCTGGAAGGGCATCTGCTGTGTAAAACATGATGGAGAAGTTGGCGGTTCATTCTGCTGTGGCGACGCCTGATTAAAAAAAGGGACTAAGCCGAAGGAAAATGAATGAATGATTCATGATAAATATAAATAAATAAAAAAAACATTTGTATAAAAACCATATTGTAATACCATATAACTATAAATGTTTTAATTGTATCTATTTATTAAGTAATTTAGTTAGTTAGTTAGTTAGTTAGTTAGTTAGTTAGTTAGTTAGTTAGTTAGTTAGTTAGTTAGTTAGTTAGTTAGTTAGCTTATGATCATAGGGGAACCAATTTCAGTTCTGGGGTGGATTTAACCAATAAGCAAGGTAAGCCACTGCTTAGGGCCCCACACTGTAAAACCCAAAATGTTAAGGTAGCTCAAAGCGTAACTCAAAGCGTTTGTTTGGGTTGCAACAAACAATTTAAGTTCAAAAACTAATCCTAATTAGTGCTGTGAACTTAATACATTTGAGTAAATAAAGCAATTTGAGCACAATAAAGCCCAATAAATGAAGAGCACTGAAACCAACTGAGTACTATAAAACCCAATAAGTTAAAGCAACTCAAATCGTTTAAGTTTAAAAAAAAAATTTATATGAGTTCTGTGAACTTACTCCATTTAATTTGATGTTAAGAGGTATTTAATTAACTCATTACCTTTACCGCTGAGTTCAAAACTTTTTTCAAATGAGTAGAATTAACTTTCAGTAAATTTTGAGTTAACTACACTCATTTCATGAGATAAAGTTGACTATCGGGTTTTATAGTGCAGGATATTTAGGGGCACCCAATAAATTATACCAGTAAAGTGGTTAATTAGTTAGTTAATTAAGTAGTTAGTATTAAATATTAAATATTAGGGCGTATGGGCCCCATGGATTACTTAGGGCCCCCAAGTCACTAAATCCACCCAGTCATTTTTCTTTAGTGGTTCTTTGGGTGCTTATATCCTCTTTAAAAATAAATATAGTTGTTCTCTGTTTGATTATAGGCTAAAGAACAACTATTACTTCTATGTAGCACCATAGTTTTTTATGGTATAATGACATCAGTTTATATTGACATACATTTAAAGTTATTTAATCATATTACGTTAAAAAGGTATGGTGACTGTCTTAGCCTATTGAAATCGACATTAATGTTATCTAAATAATATATAAATATCAAAATAAATATAGTATTAATATATTTCTATTTACCTTTACCAAGTATCTTTTGTCGTTGTATGTTATAGGCTAGGTTGTCTTTCTTTTTTGAAGCATTTCATAGTTTTGGAAGTGGCGTTTCTGTTTAAATGAGGAGTCGGATAACCTACATTGTGATATTACTAGCTGTTACTTCCAGAAGTTTTTCCTGTTTTCTTCATGTGTCGATTTATTTTCAGACGCTCTGTTTTTCTTTCTGCTTCCTGTTTATGCATGTGAGACTCGTGTGTGAAACCTGCATGACAGTATAAAGGAGACGACACGCGAAAATGCATACAGATTCTCTCAGAGGACTCCGTTATAAATAACCAGATACACTCTCTCTCTCTCTCTCTCTCTCTCTGCACGAGGTGAAGGAGTGGTGTGGGGTGTGAGAGCAACACGCTGAACTGGTTTCAGGGTTAATCTTTTTTGTTTTCTTTTGTTTTCTCCTTTTTTCCCCCCCTTTATCCTTTTTTCTTCTTTTTTAGAAGATTTATTTTGTATTATTGATTCATTTGTTTGGTTTAAACTAATACCAGCGATCCCCTCCATGATAAGGGAAACCATGGCGTTTCTCTCAGGAGAGGGAACACCTGGTTTCTCTATCAAGAATGGATGCAAAGTTTATTCGGACCAAGTTTTTACGGTTGAAGAAGTGCTTTTGGCAATGGCAGAAATAGTTGAGCACGAAAATATAGTATCTGCCTCAAGAATGAATAAGGCTGTGGTAGTGTTTCTTAAAGATGAGAAACACGTTAATGATCTCGTGGAAAACGGAATTGTTGTTAACGACACGCTAGTACAAGTAGTGCCCTTGCGTACACCGGCTACTAAAGTAACAATCTCAAACGTGCCTCCATTCATTCCCAATGAGCAAATTCTTAAGGAGTTGAATCGGTTTGGTAAGTTTGCGGGTTCTGTCAAAATGGTTCCGTTTGGGTGCAAAAACGTCGCTTTAAAACATGTGCTGTCTTTTCGAAGGCATGTATTCATGTTTTTAAATGCACAGTCTAAGACTTTAGACATTTCGTTCCGTATTCAACACGGGGACAGTTCTTATATGGTTTATGCAACAACAGAGAGTTTGCGGTGTTTCGAGTGCGGGGATTTGGGGCACAAAAAGCTCAAATGCACTCATAAGAAACAATTAGAAAATGAAAAAAATGACGGAATGAATGAAGAGCGCAATGATCAAAGCAACAGCAGTCAAAACAAAGAGAAGCGGCCTACAGCGGTGAAAGACCCCAGACAGCACACATACGTTGGGCCGACGTCGTGCCGATTTTCAAAATTCCATCGGCGCGATGTCGCTCAGGGAGCGTTTGCTAATTGGCAAAATGTCGCCGCGACGTCGGCACATGATCGGAAACGCTGTCCGGCCGATGTTAGGACGACGCAACCGGAAATGCCGTCCGCTCCGCGGAGGCGCTGTTCTCAGGCGTTTTGCTCATACTTATGGACCACTAGCTGCAGCAGCTGCTTATTTATAATAAACATGACACACCACTCTCAATAACAGTTGAAGATTTATTAATATTTTTCACAAACATACAAATAGATTAACATACTTTTATCACACATAACCATGTTTTACTACGTTTAAAACAAAACCAACAAGTTGTACTATAACCATGGCTGAAATACTGTGCAATAAAGATTTTAAATACAAAGTCCATTGCAGCATTTACATTAAGACCATAGGAATATTTACAAGTACTTCAAAACATGTACACTAAGGGTGACTATAGTTTACTATAGTAAAAACACAAATAACTTGTGTAAGCACATGTTATAAAGCTTATAATTTCTTAAATAGTGTTGAAGAAAATGCATGTTTCCAAGACTATAATTTTAAAATACAAGATAATACCAGTCATGTGTTCAGTATCCAAAAGACTTTCTTCAGGGAGTTACAATAATAAAAGAGGACACAAACACAAAATAAATACCAAGCAAACAATATTTACAGTAGTAAATAAAATCATTTAAATTAAAATAATTTGATAAAATCTTATTAAAGTCTGTAGACATTTTTTTTTTACAATTTTTTTATAAATGGCATTCAACAATTTGCTATCTCCTCTGAACTAAAAACACATCAATAATATAAAATAACAATACTTTCTCAGAGACAACCAGTTTTTTTAAGCAAACTCTAATGCACGACACAAAACAGATTTTGTCATATATATATATATATATATATATATATATATATATATATATATATATATATATATATATATGACAAAATATATATATATAATCCCTTAATTTCTGTTTAACGGAAATATTTTTAACACATTTCTAATCACAATAGTTTTAATAACTCATTTCTAATAACTGAGTAAATAATATTTGACTAGATATTCTTCAAGACACTTCTATACAGCCTAAAGTGACATTTAAAGGCTTAACTAGGTTAATTTGCTTAACTAGGCAGGTTAGGGTAATTAGCCAAGTTATTGTATATCGATGGTTTGTTCTGTAGACAGTCGCAAAAAATTGCTTGAAGGGGCTAATAATATTGACCTTAAAATGTTTTTTAAAAAATTCAAAACTGTTTTTATTCTAGCCGAAATAAAAGAAATAAGACTTTCTCCAGAAGAAAACATAACATTTTCTTGCTCTGACTTATATATATATATATATATATATATATATATATATATATATATAAAACTGGTTGTAAATTGTGTACAATGTTCCAAGAAAACAGACAAAATGAAAAGAAATAACCTGTCATTTAGTTTTGTTTTATCTTGTGGAATGTTGCTTACACATAAAAGGGGATATATAGGTGGAATAAAAAGTGTGTCGCCATCCTCGAAATTGTTCTTGTATGTTGTCTTCATCTTTAGTCTTCACAAGTGAGGCTGGCCCAAACCGGGACTGCAGTAGCCAAATCTAATCCTTGTAGTGGAAACCCTCAAATAAAGCAAGAAACCAAAAGGAGAAAGATTAGCATTGCAGCAGTTCATATTACCACAAATATATATTATTTGTTTCATGACATATAACTGGAGTATGTGTTATGCAAGTGCCTAGCTAAAATGTGTAATTTAATTTAAACTTAAAGAGTGTGTCTGAGCACTAATTTTCAGAAAAGCCATTTGAAAGTTAAATTCCTTGTGAAATCATAATGAATGTTTTTTTTTTTTGGTTTTTAGTATCATTGTGTTAGTATAAATGTGTATCTAAATATATGTCTAATCTTCAGATACCACATTACATGCAAATTAAACTAAGTTTCGTCAACTAAAATGTCACAATGTACACCACATTTAATATATCATAGCTAGGGCCAGGAGGAATCTGCGGATGTTTTTTGCTATTTCTGCTGAAAATTTTGGTGGAAGTCTGCGGATTTCTGCGGAATTATTTTGGGAGTATCATAACTAAAACCTTAATATATGAAATAAAAAATAATATATTTTTAAGTTTTATTTAATGTTTAAAATGCTAATGCAATTAGATTCACTTTATTTGGTAAATAAAGCAAGTTTTTCATGTAACATATCTAGTAAGACAGAAAATATTACTGTACAAACTGCATTGTACATAAATCAGATGAACATTTTCACATTAGTCAATAATATTACTGAAATTAATAAAAAAAACTGAATAAATATAGATTTACACACATTTACTCAAGTAAATAAACAGAAATAATGATAGGCTAAACATCTGCGGAGTTCTGCGAAAAATCCGGGTGGGCCTAGTCATAGCTTTATTTCTGCTACAAAAAGGTTTTTCAGCAAACAACTTCTATTATATGTAGGCTATAGAGGAGGATATATAAAGAAATTATATATTCAACTCTCTAATTAAATGCACCTGATGCAGCTAATCAGGTCTTTTAGGCTTATTTGAAAACTTAAATGACGTGTTGGACCACAGTTGAACAACGCTCAGTGAGAATACTTTTTTGCACAAATTCTTTTTGTTCTAAAGAAACATGTCTGATTGCTAGCAATCATCAAAGAGCAAACTTTTTTTTTTTCAAATAAATACTATGCTCTTAAAAATAAACTTTTCATACATCAAGAATACTAAAAATATGTTTATTTAAAATGTTTTATATATAAAAAAAACAGCTTGAGGAGAGAATCAGTACATTGGAATACTATTTTTTCAGAAGGATCATGTGACACTATTAATTATATACATTGTATTAAATTCACAGTATTACTGCTTGACTGTATTAATTAAATAAAGCTGACACTATCAGAAGAGAATTTACCATACCAACCTAAAAGCTTTAAACAGTAGTGTATGTTTAAGATGTTACTTACTAGTCCTATTGTACTTTGGAGAGGTTGTCTGACAGGAGGATCCCTTCAACTCAGCAGAATTCTCAGCAGACCATCAGCGTACACCAATCTAAGAATAAAATAAGCAATTTGTTAAAAACCAAAAATATATATTTTATATTTCCAGGTTTATAGGAAAGAAGAAAGCTAAAGCAGATTTAAAATGTAGAAAAAAATAAAACCTATTGACAATTTAATGGCACAACATACCCTAAACTAAGCACACTCAAATGGTTAATTTTAACTGTTAAGGATTCATTCATTCATTGTCTTTTGGGCTTAGTCCCTTTATTAATCTGGGGTCACCACAGCGGAATGAAAGGCCAACTTAGCCAGCCTATGTTTTACGCAGCGGATGCCCTTCCAGCAGCAACCAATACACACTCATTCACACACACTTATACACTATGGTCAATTTTAGCATACCCAATTCACCTATGTCTTTGGACTTGGGAAAACCGGAGCACCCGGAGGAAACCCACGCCAACACGGGGAGAGCATGCAAACTTCACACAGAAACGCCAACTGACCCAGCCGAAGCTTGAAGCAGCAACCTTCTTGCTGTGAGGCAAACGTGCTACCCTCTGCGCCACCGTGCTGCCCTGTTAAGGAATCAGATTAATATAAATGAATTGACATTTTTATTTAGTGTCTGACACATTAAATATTGCATTTTTAAATATTGTTTCATTATAAGATTTATTTCAGAATTAACTATAGAACCTGGATATATCGTCACATTTTCATGCACAGCAGCATTTCCAAGAACATAGAAAAACAGAATATAGGCCAACTGAAAAAAAAATAAATTAAAAAATTCTGAGGGTATAATCTTGGATAAAAATATCACAGTTCCACAGTATTGTGATTACTGCTCTGAAATGTGTTTTTTTTTATCTCTGTGTAAAAAACAGCTACTTTTTCCCCATTGAACACAATATGTTTTGTTTTAAGAAACATTTAAAATATTTTGTAACAGTAAACGTGCCAGGCTAAATAATAATTTAATAAAATAGTACTATCTTCATTAGACTCAAAAACACTGATTTCTTGTGAAGGCATAATAAGCTATTTGTTTTTCAGATGTTTGCTGAATCGTGAGCTGACCAGTAGCTTTTGATGTGGAGGGTCTTTTGCTGCTGTAGATAATGTTGGACTATTTTTTTAAGTCTTTGATAACGTGCTAAAAACCATATACAATGCATACGGAAAGTATTGATACTTTACTTTTTCCACATTTTTAATGTTTCAGTCTTATTTCAAAATGGATTAAATTCATTAATTTCCTCAAAATTCTACACACAATCCCCATAATGTGTGTTGACCCGATTTTAGTTAATCATTTACAAGTCAATATTGCCTATATGGATTGTAATTTAAAAAAAAATTAACATGTAAAATTGCAGTGTTAATTGCAATGCCATCAAACATTTTAGACGCACCAGTGCAAAAAGCTAGTCTAGAGCACTTGGAATGCTGGTGTAGTTCTAGTTAAATTCAGTTTAGTTAAAGCTGTATATGCAACAGGTCTCAAGTTGAGGATATAGTATTTAACTAATCTTAACAACTAAACATTTACGAATCTGTATTAGCCAGCTCATGTACTACAATGTAACAGATACTGTATATTGCCACCTTGATACTTAAGCTTTCTTTAAAATATTTTGTGTTCAACCGATTAATTAATTCTTTCATTTAATTTTTTCAGTGTAATAGTATAGCTTACACTGGTGTATTTGTATGGACCCCCCAAAATAGCGGAGGCCACTTTCTGGCCACCCAAGTATAAACTTCTAGCCTAGCCACTGTGAACTACCTGTCTGTCCTGCTCCAGAACTCTTTGTCGGCTGCTTGTATGTCTGGATACAGCTGCACAAGTCTTTTAACACTGACAAATACAGCCTCTGCACATCCTCACAACCAGGAGAACAGAATGATCAGGAGGACCTGAAAAATATAACCAACTGAAATCAGTTGAAATGTATTTTGTCTTGTGAGGATGGCACAAAAATAAATTATTTTTCACAAAGGATGTGCTGTTACCTATGAAACATTCTATAATGAATGATCTTTTTGATCCTGTTTCCTTGATGTCATTCACTCAGAGATGGTTTGGACATTTGATTGTATCTAAACTGTAATGAATTTAAGTTACAAAAACATTGATAGCAGGACCATTGATCTTGTAACTTATACAAATTGTAAGTATTGAACAAGTCTGCAACCAAACTAGTCAAGTTAATAATACTAATCTCAACTCAACTATGATTAGTTGTCTTGTTTCTGCTGCCCAGATGGTCACACCTGCTTATAAAAAAAGGAAAAAGTATGGTATTTTTACAACAATGAAACTGCAAACAACTTAACTATAAGGGGGTAAGCAGTGAGCATCTTTTATTATAAGCAATTTACTGAATACTTTGTCACTGGTATTACCTAAAAACCAAACGTCCCAAGTTTGGCTCATAGCTGTCCACACATCTGCCCAGTAGCTTGTGGTAATACTGAAGACACTGATCAGCTGGTCCAACTGAGTTTGGAGTTGAACTGCAATCAGGCATCCAATACTGCAAAGAAAGAGAAACTCACTTTGGGTTAACAAATAATGTAATCCCACACATTTCAAGTAATTGTGCAGTTAATTCTCTTAAAATGAATGAATGAATTCTCTTATTGAATTTTCTGAGAGCTTATGAATATATTTTGTCTTCCCAAAATAGCATGTACTGAAACACAAAATTATATAAATATAATTTCATAAGAGCGTGACGTGGTGGCACAATGGGTAGTGCTGTCGCCTTACAGCAAGGATGCTGACTCGAGCCGCAGCTGGATTAGCAGGTTTCTGTGTGTAGTTTGCAAATTCTCTCTGCGTTTGCGTGGGTTTTCTCTGGGTGCTCCGGTTTTGCCTACAAGTCCAAAGACATGGGGTACAGGTGAATTGGGTAGGCTAAATTGTCTGTAGTGTATGAGTGAGAACAAGCGTATATGGTTGTTTCCCAGTGATGGCTTGCAGCTGGAAGGGCATCCACTGCGTAAAACATATGCTGGATAAGTTGACAGTTCATTCTGCTGTGGTTACCCCAGATTAATAAAGGGACTAAGCAGAAAAGAAAATGAATGAATGAATGAATGAATGAATGAATGAATTTAATAAGAGTTAAACTGATCTGTTAACATGTCTGTCAGGAGCTGATCTACCTGTTGTCAAACTGATGAAAATGTTTTTTCAATTTACTTTAACATTTTTGTGTTTGTTTATGTTTTTATAACTTGCAGCCATTGTTAAATTTAAAAGTATTTTAAACATGCATGGACATCTAAATGCATATAGGGCACATTTCTCAAAACATTATGAAATATTTCCAGATAAATCAATTTTGAATTAAAATGTATATTAATCTCCAGACTTGCATCTCCCTGATCTTTTTAAAAGAACGGCCATTCGTTTGCTCATCACTGTTTGACAAGTGTCTGGCAGTCAGTCAAAAATATACTTACATATAAAGATGTTCATCAGCAACACGGCACTTAGGTTAAACTTAGACCTCCTTTTCATTTGATGTGGAAAACAAAAGCAAAAGAAAGAAAAAACAAAACGACTGAATACAAGTTGCATATCATGCCTGTATAAATCAAAAAATATTCATTTAGGGCTTAAATTGACTTGTTTGAGGATGAGTTAAGGTGTAAGGGATGGGTGAACAGTGTAAATATACATGTAATTCATAGCTATGATGTAAAGCTAAATTTTCAGCATCATTACTCAAGTCTTCAGTGTCACTTGATCTTTCAGAAATCTTTTTTTAAGATGTTGATTTAGTGCTTGAGGTTGAACTAATATAATGGTGATTATCAAATGGTGCTGATTTGCTGCTCAAGAAACATTTCGGATTGCTATCAATGCTAAAAACAGATGTGATGACAAATAATTTAGTGTAAACTTTTTTCTAAGATTTAATAAATCAATTAATCATAAAAAATTAAACAAAATGAAAATCACAAATATTACTTCATTAGCAGCAAATCTATATATTTACTAAGTTCTGAAGAATCATGTAATGTGAAATTTAATACCACTCACATGTTTAAATGTCAAAACTTTCTTAAAACAACTGCAATAAAGACAAGTAACAGATGCATAATATATAGACATGTAACATGTGCATAATGATGTGCAATGGAAATTCATATGAATTAATCCTATGCTTAAAGTTACCTGTCTATCCTGTATCTCTGTGATCAGCTCCCTTCAGAAATTTAGGAATCTTGAGTTATATTTTCTGTAGCAGGAGGTTATTCTCTCACTCCTGAAACCACAGAACACTTTTTTACTTAACATTTAGTTTAAGATACCATGAAATATCAAAACACGATTGAACTTTTGATTCACGGTCCTTTACAGTAACGTTACAATGCGTATTTTAGACTACATATGGAGTGCATTCAATAAAACATTGACAAAACCTCTCATCTACACATAAAGAATAAATAAAAGCCAAAACTTTAACAAACAAGTTTAACAAGAGCTAACATTAAGTAAGTTAACGTAATATTACCTCGACGCTAACGTTACCAGTGCTAATATGCTAACGGACTTTTACGAAGACTTACCACTCTTATATAACATAATATTCAACTGAATATTCATCAATTGCCAATAATAAATGTGTGAGGAACAGTTTTATGTAGTATTTGCTTTGTTTTAGGGACTAAACTTACCTGAAAACAGTCAAAACGGCAGCTTGAGAGAAGTCGTGTTGTGTCTTTCAGGTGGTGTCGTGTCGTGTTGTAGCTTCGTTTCCCATAGCAACATCCCCTCCGCTCCAGTGTTGGAAGCAAGACGCGCGCGCGCACATTAAAGTCTTGCAGCATTGCATTTATAAACATGATCACTCCATAGACAATTTAAATAATAACCTTGTATTTTAAATCTTGAATTTAAAATGTATTTAGCAGTTTTATATACGCTATTATCTTTAAGACGAGCTTTATAGCCTACTAAACTGTTACAAAACAAACACTTTATTTGTGCATTCACTGTCAAAAATAAATAACCAATAAATATAAATGCAAGTATATATAAAACAAAGATGTCACTCTGTAAAAAGGTGTTTATTTTAATTAAACAGCCGAAACACTGGGAAAAATGTATTAGAAAAATCCACAATAAAAAAAGCAAACAGCAGTTAACACCAGCAGTTAACACCAGAAAAAAACAACGTTTTCATTATTAAAGCATAACAATAAAACTTTTTATATTTTAATGAATTGAAATCATGTATTGTAGGCATTTTGGTCAGTTTTACTGCATTAATGTAGGCTATTTAAAGCTGGACCGACCGACGCAGTTCACATGATGCATGTCGCGTTTGTCTAATTTATTATGCACGCAAAAACTTACTTGTAAACCAAATATGTTGCCGGATTCTTTCATGGGCATGAGAGATCAAGTGCTTATGAAGTGCTTCGTCGGCCTCTGGTCGTTAACCGACGCAGAGCCGACGTTTGTTGAGCTGGAACAATAGAACACACGACCGAACGATCATGCGTATGTTTGGCCGACCATATACCGATGTTAGAATTAAAGGGGCCGACGTGTTGACCTTCGGCCGACGTCGGCCCAACGTATGTGTGCTGTCTGGGACGTAGTGATTCCGGGAAAAAAACAGAAAACAACCGGTGTTACGGTTTAACTGGTGACCGTGTTAACTGGTGTCCCTTTCCAGATGTAAGCTATTCACGTTTGCAGATTGGCAGATTCGTCACTTTTTCACAGCAACAAAACATGTCCATACCAAATAAAGATTCTTATTACTTGGTGTCAGTGTCATTGTGTGCATTATTGATTTTAATATCTGTGTAGCAGAACAGTATATAACCAAAGTAAATAAAAAAAAAAAATAGAATTTACATGTCATTAACAGGATTCGAACCCGTGTAGTGAAAAGGTTTAGCACACGTATCAATCAACTTATCTAACTGAGCTACCCAGAACTACAATCGAAGCGGTCTGTTTTAATATATTTGTCAATTAAAACATGCCTTGCTGTGATAGTGGACCCGTGTTAACATGTTTCCATCGATGTTAACATGTTTACATGTTGTTTAGTTACATGTACTCGCGTTAACGTGTTTCTACAAACTTTCCCGCTGATAGAATAGCTCTATGTTACTAAACGATGCTTCATCAGTTGCTCAAACCATGTTTTTTCTTAGTTCTAGACTCATGTCTACCTGTGCCTTTGGAGTCGTGTTAACTCGTGACCCATGCTCATACATGTAACGTAAATAAAGATTTTATCCAAAAAAAATGAATACAATGACGATATTATTATGCAACATATTATGTCTAATATATGTAATATATATTTCATATATAATATTATGCAACAGAATATTAATTGAAAATTGCAACATTTCAATGTATGATCTTGGTCACATCTGTATCAAGGTACTTATGAACATGATTTGGCTACATACGATAAAATTACTATAAGCTGCTAAGCCTACATCAATGCTTGATAGCTCAATTAGTTAGAACGTATGTTCCTTTCATGCGTCTCTTTTGTTAGTAGGTTCGAATCCACATACGAGTTTTGTTTATGCCTGATTTTTTTTAATTCTCTTTAAAATAAAATGGGGGGACTGCGATTTATAACGTTATTTAGCGGAACAACGTAGTCATTTAGCTATTCTGAGAAAATATCAGCTCGTGTAACTTTGTAGACACAGACTAACACGAGTCAATGGGACTATTATATTCTGATTGCATAATATTCTAATATTATGTTGCATAATATTATATATGAAATATATATTACATATATTAGGCATAATATGTTGCATAATAATATCGTCATTGTAATAATTTTTTTGGATAAAATCTTTATTTACGTTACATGTATGAGCATGGGTCACGAGTTAACACGACTCCAAAGGCACAGGTAGACATGAGTCTAGAACTAAGAAAAAACATGGTTTGAGCAACTGATGAAGCATCGTTTAGTAACATAGAGCTATTCTATCAGCGGGAAAGTTTGTAGAAACACGTTAACGCGAGTACATGTAACTAAACAACATGTAAACATGTTAACATCGATGGAAACATGTTAACACGGGTCCACTATCACAGCAAGGCATGTTTTAATTGACAAATATATTAAAACAGACCGCTTCGATTGTAGTTCTGGGTAGCTCAGTTAGATAAGTTGATGGATACATGTGCTAAACCTTTTCACTACACGGGTTCGAATCCTGTTAATGACATGTAAATTCTATTTTTTTTTTTATTTACTTTGGTTAAATACTGTTCTGCTACACAGATATTAAAATCAATAATGCACACAATGACACTGACACCAAGTAATAAGAATCTTTATTTGGTATGGACATGTTTTGTTGCTGTGAAAAAGTGACGAATCTGCCAATCTGCAAACGTGAATAGCTTACATCTGGAAAGGGACACCAGTTAACACGGTCACCAGTTAAACCGTAACACCGGCATTAATGGTATCAGTTCAGGGATGCTAGATGAACCCAGCGTTGTTTCAGAAGTTGGTTTTACAACCGAGCAAAGTGCCGAAGGCTCAAGTTCAACGTTAGAGGTAAGTGCGTTTACTTCAACTCTGAGTGCCGGTGACAATGCTGTAAGCCCGTCTGTTTTGAAGGAAAATACGGCTGTTGATAAGGAAAATGATGGTGTCGGTGGCAGTGTAGTTTTAAAAGAGAGTTGTTTAGAGTCGGAGGTGATTGCAGAGAATGAAAATAGTGATGAAAATATGGAGGACTGCGATGATAACTGTTCAGAGTTTTCGGAAATTGAGTGTAGTCAGTCGTTGGATGATGTTTATTCGGTAGAAGAATTGAATGCTTTTTTAGATTCAACTAAAGGAAAAAAGACTGACATAGTTAAGCACTTTCCCGATAGCAATAAATTTATTAAATCGGTGCTGATTGCTCAGAAGAATGTGGGCTATGAGGTACTTTCAAAACAAAAACGATTCCGATTGAGTAAGTTTGTAACAACGTTACGCAAAGCTCAAGAAGAACAAGGAAGAGTGTCAAAACGAAAAAAGTAAATCACATGGGAGAGGGATCTATTTTTATTTTTGTTTTACTTACCTGTTATTTCCTGTTTTCCCTTTCTATCTTCCCTGCAATGCAGATTCTTAAAGTAGGATCATTAAACATAAATGGGATGAGGGATGGGAGTAAAAGAGCTTTACTTGTTGAATTTCTTAAACTTAAAGATACCCATGTAACTTTTTTACAAGAAACTCATAGTGATCAAAAGAATGAATCTGAGATTAAGTTATGGTGGGAAGGAAAAACTGTATTTAGTCATGGTACAAATATCAGCGCAGGGGTAGCTATTTTGTTCTCAAAGTACTTAAATATAAATATTATATCAGAAGTAGAAATAGAGAAAGGACGTATTATGTTGGTAAAAGCTAAAGTAAACAATCAACTCTTTGAATTTATAAATATCTATGCTCCCAATAAATGCTCAGAAAAATTAGCAGTATTTAAGAAATTAAAAGATTTTTTAAATAGTTATACTTTGGAAGGATTTCTAATTGTGGGAGGAGATTGGAATTGCACTCTTAATTTTCTTTTAGATAGAAACAATCAAGAACCACATCCTGCATCGGCATCCTTTTTAAAAAGTTTCATAATTCAGAATGATTTGATAGATGTGTGGCGAGACCAAAATGCGGAAATAAAACATTATACATGGACTAAAATAAATCTGGGAATGATTAGTGTAGCAAGACTTGATCGGTTTTATGTAAAGTGTAGTGATAAAAACAGAGTAAGTGGGTGCAATATCTTTCCCTGTTGTTTATCAGACCATAATTTAATTACAGTCAGTATTGTTTTAACACAATCTAATTTTAAAAGCCCTTATTGGAAATTGAATACTGCTTTATTGAAAGAAAAACAGTTTTATGAAAAATTCAAATTATTTTGGGAGGAGTGGAGTTTTAGGAAAAAAGATTTTAAAAATTTATTACAATGGTGGGAGTTAGGAAAGATTCAAATAAAAATTTTCTGTCAACAATATACATGGTTTTCAACAAGAAAAATAAAACAAAAAATTTCGGAAATAGAGCATGAAATCTGTCATATTACGTCTGGCATGATACAGCATTCTGATTCATCTTCAGCAGTCTTTTTAAGTAAAAAAAATCAAGATTTAAAATCATTATTGCAAGTGCGGGCCAAAGGTGCTTTGATAAGATCTCGGTTTATGTCATTGCACGAGATGGATGCTCCTACTTCTTATTTTTTTAATTTAGAAAAAGTGTCAAAAAAACAAAATGAAATGTACTGTTTGAAGACCCCTAAAGGACTAAAGACTTTTGATCCAGAAAAAATGAGAAAGATTGCAGTGGATTTTTATTCAGACTTGTACAAGAAGGAAGAAACTAATATTGAGTGCATGTCACAAATAATGGAAAAAATCCCTACTCTTACTGAAACACAGCGTAAGTTTTTGGACAGTGCTATACCATATCAAGAATTAATGGATGCAGTAAAACAGATGAAAACGGGTCGAGCCCCGGGAATTGATGGACTGTCTATTGATTTTTACAAGTCTATGTGGAATATTATTGGAAATGATTTTTATGAAGTGATTCAAGAATGTTTTAAAGAAAAAAGTCTTCCTACAAGTTGTCAAAGAGCTGTCTTAACACTTTTGCCAAAAAAGGGGGATTTGAGTGATCTTAAAAACTGGAGGCCTGTGTCTGTTTTAACTAC